AGGAAGAGAATTGACAGAAGGGAGACTAGTGGGGCTCATGAGATCCCTGCCCATGGATAGATCTGAAGGAAGCCAACAGTATCTCCATCATGCTGGGGCCCAGAGAGCTACTGGCTGCTTGGTTTCTAGGAGCCACCTTGGGTCTTCCGGGCTGCAGACACCATCCCCACCCTGTGACCAAGGAACCAGCCTTCACGAGGGAGAGGGAGAGGAAGAAGAGGCCCAGAAGGGCTCCGAAGGACTGGGCCCCTCAGCCCTGGGTCCCCCTGGGCCCAGGCATGAGGTCCTCATTTCTGCCTCCCCAGGACCCTTTGCAGGCAGAGGGCTCTGCACTGTACCTGGGCACATTGGCAAGCGCAGGAAAAGACACACACAGATGCAGACGTGGAAACACGGGGGTTCCTGATTTTCAAGAAATCACAATGGCCAGTCAGGCCAGGGGCAGATGGCTGCCCATGAAAAACCTCCTCACTCCAACCCTGCTAGAACTTTTCCCATCCCTCCTTCTGGCCCTGCTTTATTCCCCTCAGCCCAGAGCTGGGGTCCCCCTAAGACAGGGGCTTCCCTACCTCGGAAAGTCACTTTGGCGATCCGGTCACCCCTGCCCCGCAGCTCTGAGACCGTCTTGAGGTGGACGAGCAGGGCCATGCTGCTGTGGAGAGCCTGGGCTCTGCCAGGCAGGAGCAGCTGGCGAAGGAGCAAGCCGGGAACGCGGCTCACACGCCTTCTTCCTCTTCTCTGCCGCTGCCTCCTCCCTCCGAGCCCCCTCGATGCTGCCCACAGAGACCAAGGCAACCGAGCAAGCCGAGCTGCTCCTTCCAGCTACACACGGAGGCTCACAGCCCTGCCAGCCCCCGCCCCTCCAAGTTGTCAGCCCAGTGTGAGTGTGTGTGTGTGTGTGTGTGTGTGTGTGTTGTGCACCCAGCGTGTAGCCTGGGAGTGCAGACACAGAGTCGGAATTCATTATTCAGCAGCTGCCTGCTCCCAGATAAAGCCCTGTCCAGCTTCAGGTGTCTTCCAGCTCCTGGAGCACAGCCACCTGCCCACCCCTCAGCAGGGCTCTGCTTCACCCTGTTAGGCAAACTCTTCTGCCACCAGGAGCAGGCAGATGGAAATGGACATGAGTGTGGAAAGGGTGGGAATGTGGCTGGGGGAGCCCCCTTCCCACAGGCAAGAAGGAACTTCAATAACCTGTGTGCACAGGGTGCTGGACTGTTGCACTGGCATTTCTGGGTGATCCATGCCACCTCCCCCACAGTCAAGTTGGCCACCAGGGCTGCTGGTGCCCGCAAGGCTCAGGGGTCCTGAATGGATCAGGCTTGGAGGCTTGGCTGCTCTGGATGGGTCACACTGTGCCATGTATAAATCCTAACCCAGAGCCCCCCAACTGGAAAATCAGCATCTACTAGACAACATCCAGATTGTTTCTGGTGGCCAGTCCCTCAGAAATGGGAGCCCTAAGAGAAGAAGGGAATGTACTTCTTCACCTGCTCTCCCAGAGATTGTACCCTCGAGAGGCTGGGCCCTGTCCTGGAATTACTGGATCTGGGAGGGTGGAAGTGCTGCTGGAGTGGGGCTCAGGGGCCAGGCTAAGAATGATTGGAGATGCATGACTGTGAAGGCTTCAGAAGCTTACGTTCTACTAAGGGCAATACTTAAGGTCCAGGACACTGACCTAGCCCTGTCCTAGGGCCTGGGATGAAGAAAGCTGGGGGTAGAGAGACAGGCTGGAGCAGCGACTAGGGGTGGGAAAAGGGATGTCCGTGGCAGAATTTCCAAGGGCCAGTGGAGAACTTCCCTCTCTTCTTGAAGCAGCATGTCCCAGGAGAGGCTCATAGGGAAAGGGGCCCTGGTGGCTGGGATCCTCGAACCTGGAGCCTTGGCAGGGCCAGCTGCACCCTTGCCCTTACTATTTGCTCTGCACAAAATGCCTCTACCTTACCATGCTTTCTCACCTGGACTCACTCAACTGGTGCCCATTCCTGGAAGTGCCTCTGCATCGCCCGGCCCCAGGGCTGGGTTCGAGACCTCCTCTGCGCTGCCCCCAACCCTCCCTCCCATTCCATCTTCGGGCTGCTCCACTGACCTCTCCCCACTGACTGGGAGACATTGGGGCTCTGCATCTTTGCATGCCCGGAACCTGGCATGGTATCCTGTGTATGTTAACAGGATAAGAGAGTGAGCTTGGCGATCTATGTGGAGCAGAGTCTAAAGGTTCAAAAAGAGAAATATTAAATTTTCACAGGTTGCTAATAAGCGATTACTCCCTTTGAATTCTACAGTCCCAGCAACCTGCAGGATGTCACAAGAGCCTCCTTCCCTCTTTCTAGATGCCTCTTTGCTGCTTTGCCCTACTTTTTTTTTTTCTATTTCCTTCTTTCTCTTTTCTTCCTCATTCTCCACTCTCCTTCCTCTATCTAGCCATATTGAATCAAAAAAATATTTTAGTATATTGTATTTATCAAATACAAGTGAATGTCTACATTTTTAAAAACAGATAAATTTAATATCTCTTTAAAAAAAAACTAGCATGTTCCATTCACAAGGTCATCAAGTGACCTTCGTTTGTAAAGCTTGGTGGCATCTGATAGGAAAAAAAATCCGTCTCCTCCTTAGGCCCTCTGGAGGTTCTCTCCTGAAAGGAGTGAGTTTCATGAGGCCTTCTATGGACCTGAGCATTTTTTGGGAAAAGCCCATGGACTTGCCTTAGGCTAAGCATTGAGCTTTGCTGAAGCTCAGTTTGCATACCTATAAAATGGTTCCACCTGCCAATTGCACTCTGCCAACACACAGCATCCTTTAGCTGGGCCAGCTGACCCTCCTGAAACCCGAGCCAGATCCTACTTTTAATTTCCACTCTCCTATCACCCATTTCAGTAACTCTTTTTTTTTTTAAAGATTTTTATTGGAGAATTGGGGGGATGGGAACAGTGCTGGGGAATTGGGGGAAGGGGAACAGACAAGTTGCTGTCCTTTTGTTCTTCAGTCTAGTTGTGGAGGATGTTGCTTCACTGGCCCAAGTTGGCACCATCATTGCGCTCTTCCCGGGCGAGGCAGATCAGTCGCTGGCTTCTGGACGGCCGCTCACTGCGGCTGCTGGCCGCTCACGCTGGCTGCTGGCTACATACGGAGGCCATGGCAACCCACTGCCACAGGGGCTGCAGCCTACGCCATCGCCGGCTACTCACGGCAGCCCAGCTCCAGGTTGAGCTGTTGTTCAGCATCTTAGCTGTGGAGGGCAGTGTCACTGGCCCTCATATGTGGGATCCGAACCGGGGCCCTCTGGCGTCCCAAGCCAGCTCCCAACCATCGCGCCACTCAGCCGGCCCCATTTCAGTAACTCTTAGTACAAACTTATTCAACGACTATGTACTGAACTCCTTCTAGTACCAAGTGCTGGGGATTCAAGGATGAATATGACACAGTACTGAACCTCAAGCAGAAGAGATAGGTGGACTACTAAGACACAGACAAGTAGACAGCGGGGGTGAAAGGTCCACAGACAGAGTAAGCTCAGAAGCCATGAACGGGGCGGGGGGAGTGGGCACTTGACCTTGTCCAGGAGTGAACAGTGAGGTCATTAGAAATGCCTTCCTGGAGTATGGCACACCTGAACTGAGGGCTGCTGTTTTACCACTTTGATAAATGTTTTTCTTATTGTAGCCCATTCTCTGCACAGAGAATTTAGAAATACACGGATATTTCTGCATTTTGAAGGGTGGGTGAAGGTTCCTTCCACCTTGTTTGCTCTCACTCATTCCCCTTCAGTTCCTTGTCCTCCCAGCCTTCAGTGGTCCTGCTTCTTGAGACTCCTGGAAGCTCATGGCTCCCCTCAACCCTATTGTTATCTGTCAGAGAAAGTGCTTTGAGGATTCTGGTTGTAACTGCAGCCTGTGAGCTCATTAATATCTGTGGTCTTCATCAGCTGCTATTTACACAGCCAAACTGTGCAGATGACACTTCTCATCTGACAGATGAAATGAGATTGTGAAGGATAAGGGTAAAATGCAGAGCATTCTTATAGATACCACGACTCTGCGAGCGTTGCTGGAGAGGCACGTCTGGGTCCAAGTCACAAACAGCATGGGGCTTTGGAGGCTGTCACCACACCCTCACCCCCTAGTTAAAGACCTAAGGCCTTGCTCTGCCCCACACATATCCCAGCGCTGGTGTGAGGGTCACTGGAGAAATCCAGGTGTGGGACACCAAACAGTTACAGGAGGAAAGGCATTACTACAAAGGAACGCTCACTGGGGTCTTCCCAAGGTTAGCTCTCCGGGCAAACATGCCAACCTCGTAGATTTGGGCAGGACTGAACTGCAGAATTGGGGAAAAATGTAAATCACACATCCCGACCTTGTCGCCATTTGCTTTTTGCCCTTTACTCATAAACAACTCGTGTGGAGTAGTTTGAGGGGCAAGACGTGGTAAGAAGTCCCAGAGAGAGAGACGAGAGAGTAATGAAAAAATGTCCCTTGGGGAACTGGGATATGGCGGGCAGCCTTGGGGAGCGATGACTCTTGGGGCTCCTGCGACCACTCAGGCTACCAAAGCTGAGCGGTGATGGTGCTGCTGCTGTCTGCGCTGCCTCTAAAGAGAGGGCGTTTCAAGTCGGGCCACCAGGAGTCCTACAGCAACAGAAGGGCCGGCCTGGCCTTTTCACCGATTTTCCACCTCCGTCCCGTCCCGTGTCTGAGCGTCCCACAGTCCGCCGACCGATGAGCCCATTCCTGGATGTGAAAACTGAGGTTGGGCGTGAGCGGCGATTTTCGAGGTCACCCAGGAAAGCACGTGGAGATGGGTGCACCTTAAAGGCGCACCCCGCGGGGCTGCTTCAAATAGGGGACTGCGCGGGGGTGCGGGAGGCCCGGGAACTCGGCAGCGGCGCAGCCCTACTGGCGTTGCCAGGCGCTTGGTTGCCGGGTGACCGGGGTTGTTGACAGTCCGGCGGAGAGCGCCAGAACAAACGCAGGGCTAGCTGCGCGCTGGCCGCACCGACCATGGCCTCTCGCAGCGCGGGCACCCTACTGACCGAATTCAATGCCGCCTACGTGCCCCCCGCCCTCATGCCCGGGTAAGGCCGCCGAGCACCCAGGCTGAACCTGTCTGTCAGGGCCCCTGGGGCGCCCCTCTCTTCCTCCTCCGCAAAACCCCTCCTAGGTCATCGAAACTCCGCCCCCGCGTCTTTGGGGTTTGAAGGAACCCGGGAGCCAATTTTTCACCTAGTTCTATGGTCTTCCCAGGGGTTTGCGAGCTCAGAGTAGGCAGTGGCTGGGCGCTGGCGGGGGACTTTCCAGATACCCCTGGGTAGGAAGTCCACCCCTAGAGAGCGCAGAATACACCCAGCCTGGGATAACGGGACCTCCAGTGGATGGAGGCCGGGTAAAGGGGGAGGAGAGCGAGACTCCGTGTGGGGTTAGTGTTTGGAGATGCGCAGGCAGGAGCAAAAAAGTGAGGAGTCACCGAGAAGGGAGCAGGTTCTTCGGCTCCCAGCACAGTGTGCGGCACTCAGGATTCGCTCAACGTTAGTAGTTATCGTTTAAAGAAATGAAGGAGGCCTGGGGGCACCTGGAGGCGGAGCTTGAAGAATCTGGCAAGACAAGACAGGCAGTAACGTTCAACAGTGTGCACTATCCACTAGTCCTTGAGCTGCCGTGCCTTTAGCATTTTCAGATGCAGAGTCAAACCTACCCTTTCGTTCTCTGGATATTTTCAAACTCCAAACATCCAAGATGCAAGTCTGATTGTTTCCGCCCTCCCCTTTCTCCCAAAATGTCTGAGATTTCCACTCCCAACCTCCTCTTCCTGGGTGTAAGATTGTCTTATATATCTCTTTCCAGTCAACATGGGCATTGAGGGCAAAGGCTGGATTCTAAGAAGCAACCTGCACAATATCAGCATATCTGTATAGAATGAATGAACGAATGAACGAACGAACGAACGAATGAATGAATGAATGAAATTAATATCTTGAGAATTCTGTAGGCAGGTCTTCCTGTGGATGAAAAAATAAAATAAAATAACACATGCTCTCCCCTGAAATCTGAACAAAATGCAAAATGCATACAAGATCTCACAATATATTTTGTCTGAAGTTTGGATTGTTTTGAAGCAGGATAAGCAAGACATGGAGAAGCTGTGATTTTAGAATCATTTCTGCCCACAGAGGTAGTGTAGTAACTAAGGACTGGTGCTGTAGTTTTAATCCAGCTCACTTGTGGGCAGCACCTTGGAGAGCTCAAAAGCTATTGTACTTATGTTAGGGTCCCATCAGACAAAACTGATTTACCAGGCCACAGTTTCCTATTAATTCTTTCATTCATTTGATAAAAATATGTTGAGTGCTTGGTATGTGACTGCTGTTGTGTTAAGACAAAAATTTCTTCAGGCCTGAGACCTCACTTCTCAGGGTGAGAGAGGTGCAGGCCTGGCAAGAGGAAGGGAGGGCTTGGCAGCTGCATCTCTGAAGCCCCTTTCATTTCAACCCAGGCCCTGGCACTAAGGTGTGTGTAGCCCTGAAGACAGGCCAGTGCATCCTGGGTATGAGCAAAGGCTATTTGCTCAGGTAACCAGAGGAGACCCTGTGTGCCCTGATAGGTAACCAATGCCTCTCACACAACCCTGAGAAACTGGGGGGGCCTTCCTAAAAACGGGAGGTCAAGGCCCCTGGAGACCTGGGCTTTGTAACAAGCGACACTTCTTCTCTCCAGAAGAATCACCAGCCCTTAAAATGTGCCTCCATTTGTCAGTTCAATTCAATAAATATTTACAGAGCATGTACTGAATGCCAGGAATGCCAGGAATAAAGATACGAGTAGAACGCAGTCCTCTCTCCCCATGGATTTTATAATTCAGAAAGAATTACTGAGGGCTGAGGTAATTACAGCATTGCAGAATGTGGCCCAAGATGTAAAAGAGGCAAAAAGAGTAAGACAGTTCAGTAGAGGGGACAGGTGTGGCCCATGGAGGGGTCAGAGAAGGCTCCACAGGACGGAGGTATTTGAAATATCCCTTGAAGAATGGGTAAGATCACAATGAGTGGGGAGGAAGATAGCAGCGTGTTCTGGATGGAGGGATGGCCTGAGGAAAACATGGGGTGGAGGTGCCAGCCGGATGTACTTCCACAGTAGCAAATGTCCTGTTTGGCTGGAGTGGAAAAGCTGTGGCATGAAAGCAGATAAGACTGGCAAGGCTTCCCACAGAGGCCTGTGTCAAGCAGGGCTTGAGTGCCAGGCTGGTTTGTTCTTAATTTCACAGGCAATGGGGAGCCCTGGAAGGTTTTTGCCCAGGGGAAGGATCTGCTCAGAACTGTACTCAGCACCAAATGTTGTGGAGAAGAGGGCACACGTGGAATGAGGACACGTTAAATAGTAACAAGTTAATTAGTTAATAGGGCTGCTCATAGGATCCCCGATGGCTCATGGTAATTAACTTTCATGTTAGCTGTGGGGCCAACCAGTGCGATTAAGAGGCAGGGAGGGACGGCTCCCTGTACGCATAGTAACCACGGTAGACTTTAGGGTGCACGTGTGATCGTGTGATCGTTGCCCAGGGCCTGGCTGAGCACTGTCTCCTAGCTTGTGGGGTATGCAGGTGGGTGAGGGGCACGGGAGCATTAAAGGGGCCAAGGAGGAGGTATGGTGGCACCGCAGGGACGATTCACTGTCCTGCTATGAGACCTGCCATTGCTCTCTGTTCCTCTCCACCTTGGCCTGCCACACAAATAACAAAATGGGCCTTTGGAAGCTCTACCATGGGACTGCATGGGGTCATGCTCAAGGAACACAAATGCAAGTGCATACAAGGGACACACACCTAGCTTGCCAAGGCACGCGGACTGAGTGCTAAATAAATGTGAACATTTACATGTGCACTCGCACACATGTGCCCCTACAACAGCAGCAAGTTCTGAGCAGAATCTGGAATCCAGGCAGAACCTTAGAAGGGTTGCGGAGGAGAGGGCTTCTATTCTATTGGAATGCAAATACCTTGGCATTCAGAGAAGGTAGAAAAGCAGGGAGCAGAGGAGGAGTATGGCAGAGAGCATGGGGGTGGCGAAGAGAAGAATCGCAGGAACACGTCACATTTCTATAGCTACTTCCTTCAGAGGAGCGTAAACACCCCTGTGGGTGGGATGCTTTGTGACAGAGCCAAGCCCCTTTGAAAATAGCATTCCAGGACATGGTGCCCCCGGGGTTTCTGGACTTCTGCCTCCTCCAGTGAACATTTATTGAGTACTTGTCATGTGTCAGGTGCTGGAGATAAAGGGAAACACAGATTAGCAGAGAAAATGAACTAACGTGGATGTGTGTGGATAAAGGATGATAATATTACGGTGAAACGGAAATACTGGTAGAGGGTGTGAGGTCAGGGAAGATGGCAGAGGGCCCTGGCTCCGTGAGTGAGTGGGAAATGCCCCAAGGGCAGGTAGGGATTTGGCATTCCAGGAGAGGAGAAGTATGTGAAGATTTAGAGGCATCGAGAGCATGAGGGGCCCCTAGAGAAGCGAGTAACACTCCTGGGGCATAGGGTGCCTATGGGGAAGTGATAAGAAAGAGGTGAGCCTGGTGACCTGATGTGTGTTTGGGAAAGATCACTCTGGCATCAGTGTGGATGGCAGGCTGGAAGGACATTATCTAGGAGATCCAAAGCCGTCCAGGTGAGCGAAGAGGAGGGCTTGTAGCGGAGGGATGCAGGACAGTGGGAAAGTTACTAACAAGGGAGCATTAGCAAAACGTAGGAGAGGCTGGATGTGGAGGACAGCAGGGTGATTCACGCTTTCTGGTGGATTTTGGTGGAATCTGGTGGGTGGGTGTCACGTTAACCAGGACAGGGGTATCCAGAAGGAGGAGCAGGCTTGTTTCAATTGCAGTAAATGTGGTGTCCGTGGGCAAGCCCTGTGTGGATAGCTGAGTGTGTGGATCTATAGCCAGGAGAAGGGTCAGGGCTAGAGACAGATTGGGGCTTCCTTGATGTTAAAAGTCTAACATGGATGAGGTCCTCCAAAGGGAGAGGTACCTTAAAAGAGAAGAGGACAACACCAGAACCTAGAAGATGAGAAGGGAAAGAGAGTCAGACCCCAGTCAGTCCCCCTCCACAATAAAACCTCAAAGCCTCACCCAGTGGAAACTCCTTTCTGGAGCTCCATCAACACCACCGCCCCCCCGTGGGAATGGGCCTTCTCTCCTTCTAATAGCATTAGAGCCTCGACCACCGGCACAACCCTGCACATGCACGCCTGTGACTCAATGTATCCTGAAAGAGGGGGTGGGCTCAGGGGCTGAGCGAATGGGACCTTTGTAATTCCCATCACTCAGCACTCAGTAGGTTCCCAGTAAAATAACTTAATGCCATCTGATTCTGTTTTTTGTTTGTTTGTTTTCTTTTTAAGATACACATACAAAGAAAACAACAAACCACCCCCAATCCAAACACCTACAATTAACCAGGGTTAGCATTTGGTGAAATTCAGTCTAGGTTTCTATTTATGTGTATATTCAGATAAAATACAAGATGGATGGGTGGGTGGGTAGGAGAATGGATGGCTGGATGGAAAGATAGCCAAAGCAATTTTACAAAATTATGATCACACTATATTTACTATTTAAAAATGAAAAACATGAAATTTGATCTTACTGGAACTTAGCTGAAGAGAAACATACTGAAGCAAAATGGAAAAATATCTAGACTTTGGATAAATGCTAATTCATTACAAGAGATATTAGCTCATAAAAGTTCCCTCTAAAGGAGAGAGAGAGAAAAAAGAGAGATATAAAAGCCATTAAGGGGTTAGAGTCATTACTTTTTTTTTTTAACTCCATGTTTCAATTTTAGATGCTATGGGTTGACTCTGCTTTAGAAATTCTTAATAAGTACACTTCCATCTTCCCTCTACCTACCTTCTCCCCTATTGTTGTTGTTCAAACTATTTGGTACTGCGATAAGTTTTATAACATTTACATTCTGTTCTGCAACCAGCCTTCACCTGGTTGCTCTTCCGAGTTCTGTACTTAAGTGGATTGAAGCTAACCACCAGTCATTCTAGCAGAGGCTCTACATTACTGAGTGTTTTTTTCTTTTGAATCATCTCTCAGTTGGCAGGATTTTGTCACATGACTTTCTCAAAGTGATTATGGGTGCTTTATTTCCTACTTTCTTTCATGCTGGGAAAGGACCAGCAGCTGCCTTTATACCTGGATGACCGACCGCTTGGCCAGTTTGATATTCTTGGGCCACGCTCTTTTCCATACATCATGCCATCGATAACCTTTCTTTAGTTTTTATTCTGTCACTTTATTATCGCTCTGTTGGGGTTTGGTAGCCCCTGATGACCAGCACCTTTCATTCCCTATGTTCTGAACCACTTGAGAAATAAGATAAAAGAGTGAAAGCTGATACTGGGAATGAGGCTGACACTGAACTCCGGAATGAGACCGCAAGGCTGCTCTGGGCAGGCTTTCCTCCCCAAGGGCAGAGCGTGTCCACCCAGAACAGGGCATGGAGGGGCTTCTTCAAAGAAGTGATATTCGGGCAGGTCTTAAAGGACCATTTAGTGCTGGGTGGCAAGAAGCAGGGGTTGGGGGTGTGGACAAGTTTGGCATTCCTGAAGGCAGAAGGCACAGGGCGAGAACCCAGGGAAGAGAGTCGGGAGAGGGAGGGAGGGAGGAAGCAGTTACACACAGAGAACTGCAAATGGCTCCTTGTCCGTGGGAAGTAGGGTAGTTGATGAAGCTGAGAGGGAGGCAAGTGTCCGATGACAGATGGCCCTGACTGCCATGCTAAGGATTTGACTTTAGAAAGTGCAGTCTGGCTGCAATGTGGAAAATGGGAGGGCCATGGCGGAAGAGCGAGGGGTCAGAGCGGAGCCCTGGTGTTCTGGTGCCAGCGTAAGCCCCTGGTCTGGAGATGTGACCATCCTAGAGGTCTAGGGGAGGAAGAGGCCCAATCTCTTTCACTTGTCCTTCTCCAGAGACCCAAGCTGGGCACTGCACCTTAGGAAGCCTCTCAAGGCCCAGAGGTAACCCACGGCACCCACTGACCTCACCCCCAGTTTTAAGGGTGCCTCATGGAACTGATCCTGGAGCCCTTCCCCGACCTCTCCCTCCCCTCCCCCACTGCCATTACAGGTACCAAGGCCATGTTCCCGGTGTGGCCTTTGCCTTTGGCTCCCCATATGGCAGCGCTACCCTCAAGTACTTCCAGGACCACCGCAACGCAGCGCTGGAGAAGAGCCACACTCCCTTCAGCAAGGGCGGCCACTTCCCGACCATCTTCTCCCCAAACCCCGACCTCGTGCTTAGTAACCGCTCCCAAACCTGGGACTGCTGGCTGCACACCCCCATCTATACCCGCTTCAACCTGGGCAATGACCGCTCCGCTGAACTCACCCGCTTCTACCAGGTGGGCTGCTGGGGCAGGGGAGACCTCTCACCCTCCAGGGCGCCTTTATTTGATTTTTCAGAGACCCTGAGCCAGCAGGGCCCCCCTTGAGTTTGGATAGGGGCTCCGCTTCCCTGATCTCCCCTCACCCAGGGGCTCTGGTAATTCTTGTCTCTGCTCCCTCCACTGCTGAGAGAGCTGGAGCTTTTGGGGGTGTTCCCACCCTCGCCTCTGCCCTGTGGCCTCTCAGCCCTGTGAACTCTTGCTTACCTCCTGCGTGAGTAAAAGGCCAAAGGTTGATCCCCTGGACAACCACACAAGCACAAAGGGCCCACTAAGCCTTCACCTGGCTCCCACCACAAGTCTGCTCTCAACTGCACTCAACCTACCTGGAGCCAGGTGGGCCCACCCAACACCTTCTGCTCCATGGTCCTCTGAGGATGTGCTCCAAGTCATCCTCAGCCCCAGAATGGACCCTAACTTCCCTCGAGGGAAGACAGGCAAATGGAGGGGGACCTGCCCACACCCCAGTGTTCTTTCCTGCTCCTCTGTCTCTTAAAGCCTCCTCTGGCTCTGGTTCAAACGCGTCCCAGCGGGCCCCAGGCACACAGGCACTCAGCTTCCTTGGTGGGGGCCAGGGCTCGTTCTCGGCTGTGTTCTTGGAAACCACACTTTCTCCCTCACTTCCCTTGCAAACTTCCCTCCCGCCTGATTTCAAGGACACAAGCCCTTCCTGGTCCCCAGGATAGAGAGCTGTATGAGAAGTCAGCCTCCCCCGGGAGAGGACCAGATTGATGTCGTCAGAGCCCAAGGAGCTGTGGGACTGTCTCAGTGGGCCTGGGAAGGCCTTTGTCCTCCATTTTGGCTCTCACACAGAGAATGCCCTGTCCAGAAGGGAAGGGAAGGGAGAAACACAGAGCTTACCTGTGCCACCTGCTGAGCTGGGCCTCACATACCTGACCTCTGCTGGTCCCTTGTCTCATTAACTCTCCATAGCAAAACTGCTGTGGTGAGTGTCATTATCCCCATAAGACAGATGAGAAGTGAGGCTCAGAGAGGACACCTAGCTGGGACTCCTTCAGGGGCGTTAGGGGAGATGGCCCCCACCCCCTGCCCAGGTACAGCCTGGCAGGGACTGCAGGTGCCTGAGGTCCCTCCTGCACACTAACAACCTGTCATCTCTTCTCCGGTGGAGCTGTAGATGGCACAGCATCATCGCAAGTACTATCAAGACAAGACCGGCCTGGTGCACCGGGTCCCCTATTTCGTGCTGCCTGTGAAGGAGTGGGAACGGTACCCCATCCCCACCGACCTGTGAGTGCCTGCCCTTTCTCACCCATACATTCAACAAGCATGTGTCCACAGGGCACCCGCTCTCTGCCAGACACGCAGGCACCCAGACTGAGAAACGAGTTAAGGCCTTTCCATAAAGAGCCTACAGTGCAGAGGATAAAAGTTACGGAGCAAAGGGTCAGGGCTCCGGCAGCCTGAATGGGTGGAATTAGGAGGAGAATTTTCCTGGCTAGATGCACTGGGAGTTTGGGAGCAAACCCCATAATCTTTGCCAGCCTGAATCTGCAGGCTTCTTAGAAGCCCTGCAAGGGCAGCTTTACAGCGCCGTTCCTCCAAACACGCGCGCGCAGCTGCTCTGAGCAGCGAGGAGTTGCTGCCCTCTGGCAGACACGGAGGGCACTACACTAATGAGGGAATCGGTCTCCCAATACGGTCCAGACTCGAAAAATGTTCTCCTACAGACTTGAAAATGTTTTTCAAAGTCCAACTCTCCATTTAACAAAATATGAAAGTCCCTCCATGCCTGCACCTTGATGATTTTATCCGGGAGAGCTTCTTTTCCCAGGGAAGGCTAGCTCTGCCTTGCAAGATAACCTGGCACACGGTTCCCTTGCCTGACACCCAGGCAAAGAGACCAGAAGTCTATGCCATCAAGGTGTCCTGTTGGTTAAGGAGGATCAGGAAGTTGTAGACAGATCTCCATGCTTACTTGTCTTAAGAGCCCTGAGTGTCACCATCATCCTTATTGATAAAGCAGCAACCTTTTCCATAGAGTTTAATGATTTTTAAAGAAACATTTAACTGCCTCTAAAGATTCCTTTCTGCAAGATAGATCAGTCCATTTAATAAACAGGAAAACTGAAGTTTAGTGATGGCTTCGGGAACTTGTGCTGGGTGGCAAGTCTGCTTGGAGGTAGAACCTGGAGGAGCCCAGGTCTTGCGATGCAAACTCTAAGACTCTGGGTTGGCTATCTTCACCCCTTGAGGTGGCTCTGAGTCAGCCCGAACCTGGAGACAGTGTGGGATCTCTCCTGGGGTAGATCTCTTGAGACTGCTCTGGGCAAGATCTGTACCTCCCACAGCTGTGGGGAGCGTGGGACGCCCCAGCTCCATTGCTTCTCCAACTGCCTGACAGCCTTTGCTGCTACTGCTGGCTTCACACTGAACATGGAGGACTGTCCAAGTGATTGGGAGTAAGAGAGTGAGTGCTTGCACTCAGCCTTTCTCCTGATCACCTCTGTAGCCTGGGGCAAGTCCTTGCCTTTTCCTGAGTTTCATCACCATCATTGCCATCATCACCATCACCATTTTTAATAATATTTTTGAGAGTTTTCTCCTTGTCCAGCATTAAGTGCTTTATATGCATTATCTAATTTGCTTCTCAAAACCAAGCTCAGAGGGATATACCAACATTAGTCCATTTTACATGTATACACTTCTAGCAGGAGTTGGGCCAGAATCCATCCCAGCTTTGACACCCATGTCCTCACTCTTGACCACTGCACCATTATGCAAATACAAACTATTTTTATGTGAACTGCAGGGTGACCTATCAGCTGATGAGCAGCCAGCAGTGTCAGAGTCAGCATGGCTGTACAATGGGCAGGTGGGGCTGTGGTTGGGCATTTTTCACCCTCCCTCCTTGACACACTGCATAACACTGGCTCTATCCTTACCCTCAGGCCTCCCCTGACCCCGAAGAGTAAGTGGCACCTTTTAAGACTATGCCCTGAGAACATGAAGACCTACCAGACGTTCCCATCGGGAAAGAGGGTCTCCCCACAGGAGCGGCAGAAGAGAGATTCCTACTTTGAATTCAGAGCATGATGCCTGACAGCTGTGGTCCTGGCCAGGTTGGCTCTTTGAAATAAAATCTTTAGCCATGACCATCCCACACTCCTCTCCTCTGAGCTCCAGGAGCATTTGGTCACAGCAGGACAGCGCCTGAGGGTCACATAGCACTGCGTCTTAAGGGCTGTGAAAAGCTCAGCCCAAGGGGTTCACGCCAAGAAAAAGCAGTGTCCAGCAACCTGTTGGGCTCACCCACCTTTCCTCCCAAGGTGGTGGTGGTAGAACTGAGGACTTTAGGGATCCTGAATTGTGGTGGCAGGTCACCCAGTTATGGAAATACCTTCCATCTGCTTCCACTCATATAATTGAGGAAGCCCCATTATCCCACACCTGAGAATGAGGGTGAAGTGACCCCAGGACCATTGCACTGGGTGTCATATGCAAAGGAATTCCTGTTTGAGCTTGGCTCAGCATTAGTTAGTCCACACAATAACCTGTGACAGAAGTGGTGTTATTGATAAAGACGCTGAGGCTCAGAGAACTTGAGAAAGTTGCCCAAGCTCACAGCTTGGAAGCAGCACAGCCAGGATTGGAACCCAGGTCTGTCTGACTCTCAAGCTCTGATTTTTCCGCTATACACCCTGCTTGTGGTCCATGTGGTGACTGATGGGCAAGAATGACACAGCCCTTGGGACCCTGAAGGACCCTATGGTGCCTGGAAAGAAGCACAATTTTGTGCGTTCTGCCCAGATTGGCGTGGAGCTGGTTTGGCATCTACCCCTGGGACTATTTCTAGAAGGGGCAGGAGGGAATGACCCAGGACTAAGCCACTCTTCAAGGAATCTCTATGCTAAAGGAGCCTCTAGGCCAGAGTTGGACACAAGAATGGGTTCTAAGGTCACGTGCCTGAGGTGGCCTGGGAGGGCCAGGGACTAGAGTTTCTGTTCTCACCAGGCTTCTGCTTCCCACTTCCTGGGAGGCCTCTTGCCTGCTGGGACGGGGGACAGAATGTGGGTGACAGCCCCTCAGTGGACAGGATCCCGGATGGGGAACTCAGGCCAGATGTATACCTACACTGCAGGAACTCTCCAACATTCCAGCGCCTCCTGGGTTTAATCAAGGGACTCCATCCAGCAATAGGACATTTATTACCCCTGAATGGTGAGCCAGGACCTAAAAGCAAGGCAACCGCTGAAGGTTCAAGTACACATAAGAGTGAAACGGCCCTTCCTCTATGAGCCATCATTAGTTACACTCCTTCTCCCAGGACAGTGTAAAAGAGAAAAACCATGTGCCCATCAGATAGGCACCTGACAGCTCTCAGAGACCCCCATAAGGGGCTTTTCCTGTGTCTCAGAGTCTCTGACCAGTTGACCCCAAAGGGTCCCTGTGAGGGCGAAATTCATTCCAGGGCTTGGCCAAGTAACAAAGCAAATAAACTGATTGCTGGTCACACACTGTCACATCCCAAGGGCTAGAGGGTGCCAAAATGTCTTCTCCCTCAACCAGGGCTGAGAAGCCAGGTGCCAACTGAAATGACCGCTATGCGCACCTCTCTGTAAAGGCTGCCATAGGAGATGCGAGGAGAGGTGCTGAGTGTGGGGGGTGCGGGCTCCTGTGAAGGGAGGGAAGGACATATATTTTCCTAGTGAACTTCTCCCCATTTGGCCTGTCCCTGCTGTGACGTGGGTGGAGATTTGAATCCTGCTCTTGAAAAGACTGGCCATTCCAGCTTGCTTGACATCATCGGCTGACTTAAGTCCTGGAATGAGCAGTTCTTAATAAAAAATACTTCTATATGATCCTGCATTCAAAAAATGATGAACTGATAAGGCAAAGAAAAGATTTTTCCTTTACTTTATTGAATAAACAATATTCTAGAAGTGAAGGGGGAGGGAGAGTCGGGGAAAGTCAGACTTCTAATCAGAGTCCCCTAACGCCAGGAGAAGATTGGATTCCAAGTGCCAGTGGTCCCCTCAAAGTTTCCAGGTCAGGTATGTGTGGCCATATCAGCATCCCCAGAGGTGAATCCGAAAAGAGCTGAAAGAAAGAATCCATGAGCCACCTCAAGCCTACAGGCCTACAGCACCCTCTGACCTTTGGGCTCACAGTAGTCCTACAGGGACCCTCCCTTGCCCACATCTCATGTCCCTTTCTCTGAGTAACACCCAGTTTGCCACTCTCCCAAGCCAACCCAAAGCCACCTTTAAGTAACTTTTAGCATCACTAGAAGGCAAAGGGTGTTTATAACCCTGTGGTGCTAGAACCCATGGAAAGAAATGTAAGAAATTTAAAGAAAAACTCAAGGAGGACAGGATTCTGGCCTCAATTGTGTGCTGGGCTGTTATAGAAGAAGAAGAATTACCCTTGGTTGGGGTGGTCCCAAGTGTGGACCCTCTTATAGAGAGGCTGCCCAAGCCACAGCCCCCTGGCAGCCATGTTGGAATGGAAAGCCCTCTCCTTCATCCCGGTGCTTGGAAGAAGGGTAGACACTTGACCTGAGCTGGGTCAATTGATTCTCTGTCTGCAAATTTGGAGTCAGAGCTGAAGAACATTACTTAGAAGTCACTAGGGTCATTTGGAGCCAGGGAGATGTAAACTTGACCACTGTGGGGAGGCCATATTTGGCCTCATATCTGACAAAGCAGAAATTGCGAGTTTGTACATAGAGCTAAGTATGGAGTTGCTGAGGAAAGAGGCAAAGGCTCTATCCCAGGTTAGTGTCTATCCCAAAGATCCTATCCCAGGTTCCTGACTGGGTGTTCTCTGAGGTCTAGGTGCCTTTGTTCTTTTTTTATTATTTCATTTAACCATGTGAGTGGGCATTCTTCCTTGTCATCAAAATCACCTAGACCATGAGACCAAGGGCAGAATAGGACCCAGGAGGCACAGACACAGGCAAAAAGATGCCAGCTCAACACCACCAGGGTGCTCTAACAGGGCTGTTGGATCATGAAATGAGCTCTCTCCAGGAGTGGTGCGTTTCCCATCACTGGAAGGCTCCAAACAAAATTGTTAAACACGTCAGGGAAATATGGAGATGGCCAATAATTTCAGGGCGTTTGGACCAGAAAAGATCTATTAAGGCCCCTTCTTGCCTAAAACAAGTTTTAGAAATGCTTAAGGTCTTCTCTGATCTCCACCACCAGCATCCTCACCCCACCCCCTGCCCCCACAAACTCCTAGTGACCCCTGAAGGTTCTGGGGGAGGAGAGAGGACTAGCAGTGGCAACTCCCCAGGTCAGTCCCAGAGCTCAGTGGACTTTGGGAGCAGCACACAGGTGTGTTGTAGAGAAACAGCACCTGAAGTTTGGACCACCCACATCATGTGCAAAGCCTGGGATGCAATCCCCTCCCTGCCTGTCAAAACCCTACTCCTTGACCTTTTCTAGTTTCCTTACTTCTCAGAAGCTCCAGTTTTTCTGATTCTGAAAGTATCTGGAAAGATTCTGGAACCTCATGGCCCCCTTGGGAAGACTGAGGTGTCTCATTGGCTAAGGGGAGACTGGGCGCCCTTCTTGTCCCCCCGCCCACACTATGCTGGGCATACCTCCCCTACTCCAGAACACCTTACTTCATGAAGTCTGGAGCCTTGGCCATTGCGTGTTCAAACTCTGAGAAAGACAGCATGTTGTCATTGTCCAGATCCGACTCATTCAGGACCTGGTCAGAGGTGTGGGAAGAGCGAAAAGCAGAAAGGAGTCAGGTATGAGAACGTGAGATGGGGGCTCAGGGAGGGGGAGAAATACCAGATGCCGAGTGCTGCCATAAGCCAGGATGTCTTCCAGGTGCTTAACACTTATCTCAGAGTCCCCTGATCCCCTGTGAAGCAGGTGTTCTCCCTCCACTGCCACCGTCGCCCCAGACAAGGACACAGACATGCATAGAGATGAGGTTATGTGCACCGAGGTCTGGGACACCCTGAGCTGGTCTCATCATGGAAGGAGTCCTCTTGGTGCCTCCAGCACGAACTCGGCAGTGAGATAAGGTGCAGGGTGAACAGGGGACATCCCCCACCCACTCCTGTCACCCAGTCACAAGCAGGGGCTCTGCACTGCAAGCAGCCCAGTCAGGTCAAAGAGGCAGTAAAGACCCCTCATTGTTTTAGCTTTGCTTCTAGTTCCCATCCAGACCAAAAGCACTTGAAGGTTCTCATGATCTGGGCACAAATGGATCCATGCTCTGTGTGTTCATGAGGCTGTCTTCATGTCCTATCATGCTTTGGACCGGCACTCCAGGACATGTGGCCATTGTGTTGTGCTGAGATAATGTGGGAAAGGTGATATTATGATGTGTCCATCTGATGCCGAGCTGCTGTTGGTCCATCTGCCTGCAGTGTTTGTGGGAGGGACCGTTGGAGTGGGTGGCTTGGGCACACTGCTCTGGAGACCCTGGAAGGGAGCCAAGGAAGTCCTAATCCTGGAGAAGGACAGGAAAGGGGGGTAGCTTTCTCCAGCCATGTGCCCTTCCTCAAGGCACCTCAGCCTGCCTGACATCCAGGGCCTTAGGTGATGGCTTGCTCCCTGCCGCGCCCCCCCCCGGCCTGTGCAGCCCCAGGCACACACGTGGCTCGTGAGGTCAGTCAGCAGGTCCTCAGACACATCATCGCTGTTGAGCAATCGAAGGATGATCCTCTGCAGGTCCTCCTCATCGATGAAGCCGTTCTCATTAAAATCTGCAAAGAGGAGGAAGAGCCTGAGAGGCAGGGGCCCCCAGCCAGGACCCCACAAACTCCTGTCAGCATCTGGGACTCCCCATAGAATCCAGCTGGCCCAGGTGGGCCTAGACCCTGGCACCCTGGCACTCAGTAAGATCTGGGCAAGCCTGAAGAGTGGGGCTACAGCAGCAGGGCAGACTACAGATGAAGGTGGTGCTTAATACATGATAAATAATAATAATGAATAATAAATAGTAATAAGAAGAAGCAGGACTGCCACAACAAACACAGATGTGCCAGGCTACAGCCTAAGGACATTATATTTCACTGCATTTAATCCTTATAACAGATAAAGAAACCAAGGCACACAGACATTAGAGAACCACACTTACTTCCTTAATCTCATTTTAGCCTCTTGCTTTTAAATGTCCCCAAATTCATACCTCCAGCCTGGGTTTCTTGAACTCCAGGTGCCTATACCCACCTGCCTTCCTGCCCTCTCCATGTGATCTAATAGGTCCCTCAAATTCAACTTGTCCAAACCCAAACTCTTTTTTTTTTTTAAAGATTTTTATTGGGGAATTGGGGGGATGGGAACAGTGCTGGGGAATTGGGGGGAAGGGAATAGACAAGTTGCTGTCATTTTGTTCTTCCCAGGCTAGTTGTGGGGAACGTTGCTTCACCGGCCCAAGTTGGCACCATCATTGCGCTCTTCCCGGGTGAGGCAGGTCAGTCGCCGGCTTCTGGACGGCCGCTCACTCTGGCTGCTGGCCGCTCACGCTGGCTGCTGGCCGCTCACGCTGGCTGCTGGCTACATATGGTAGCCCATGGCAACCCACTGCAGCAGGGGCTGCAGCCTACAATATCGCCGGTTACTCACGGCAGCCCAGCTCCAGGTTGAGCTGTTGTTCAGCATCTTAGCTGTGGAGGGCAGTGTCACTGGCCCTCATATGTGGGATCCGAACCGGGGCCCTCTGGCATCCCAAGCCAGTTCTTAACCATCACGCCACTCAGCCGGCCCCAAACCCAAACTCTTCATACGCTCCTCTTTTGCCCTGCCCCCAACCACTCACAGCTGTGCCCTCCTTGGCAAATGGGCAACTCCCACTCTTCCAGCTGCTTGGCCAATAAACAGAGACATCCTTCCTTCATTCCCCACAGCTCACATGTCAGCAAATCTTCCCAGCTCCACTTTCAAGGGACAAAAACCCCATCAGGATGTCTTCTCCCCACCGCACTGCCTCCCCCCTGTTCCAGCCACCATCACCTCTCTGTAGGATCACTGCAGCAGCCCCTGAACCAGTTTCCCTGCTCTTGGTCTGCCCCCTTCAGTCTATCCTCAACTCAGCAGCCAGTGATCCTGTTAATCATTCTTCATTTCTCCCTCAGCATCTCTTCTCCCAGCCTCCACCTCAGCCAGAGGAAAGCCCACGCTGCCCTGCTCTCACGCTGCCTCCTTGTCATTCCCCATCAGGCACAGCGTGCTCCTGCCTCAGGGCTTCTGCACGGTGGCTCCCCCCTAGGTCTTTATTCCAGTGGCAGCTTCTCACCAGGGCCTAAAATGGCGCTTCCTGTCTCTTTGCCTGCTTTATTTTTCTCCCAACACCAAATATTACCTAACACACTATATGTTCCACGTCTGAGCTCGTTTATTTCCCTCCACCAGAATGTAAATTCCACAAGGGCAGAAAGCGTTGGTGTTTTTGGTCACGACTGTATTCCCAGCTCCTAGAACAGAATAGGTGCCCAGTGAACATTTGTTGAGTCAGCAAATGAACAACCCAAGGTCATACATTGGTAAGTGATGGAAACCCAGGCAGCCTGACTCTAGGGGCAGTCTATGCTTTTAATCGCTCATGACTGCTTCTATTGTAATAAAATACCCAATTTTTAGCTGGGCATATGATCATCTACAATGAGCACCACATTTCCCAGCTTCCTTTGTTGCTAGATGTGGCCATGTGACTGAGTTCTGGCCAATGAGATGCAAGCAGAAGAGGTGCAGGCGACTTCTGGGAATGTCTTTAAAGAGAAAGTGTAGTCCTTGTGACAATGAGGCAACCTTGAAATTGGAAAATAAAGCAACAAAATAGGAGAAGCCTGAGTCTCCAACATTGCACAACCACCATAGGCAACTGCCTCTGGAAAAAAGACGTAGCTGCCAGAGATCTTGGGAGCTATCTTGTGTAAACCACTTGGGGTTCCTTGTCATGTGTCACCAAATTTAACCCTAATGAATTCATCATCTGAACCTCAGTTTCCTCATCTGTAAAATGGGTAATAGCAGTGCCTCCACACAGTTGCTGTGAAGATTAAATAAGAAAATACATGGGAGTCAGCTGGCATGGGATTTGGAATATAAAAGATGCTTATTAGATATAGTAGAGGCTCAATTCCCTATCACTTGATGATGGCTAAATACAAAAAATGCAAACTTTAGGAACCGTACTATCCTGCTTTGAAGAATAAGAGCTAGAGCTTATTTCCCAGAGGAGTGGGCTTTTTGATGTCACAGGACCCTTCAGTGGTAGAGCCAAGACTTTTGTCTCTATTCCCCAAGGCAGGATATGGATGTAGAAGGTGCAGCTAACCACCTCCCTCCTTAAGCAGGTGCCTCTCCCCTGGCTGAAAGTTTGTCATCTCTAGGGACTGAGGCCTGAGGCCCAAAATGATCACCTCAGCTTTTCCTGCACAGCCCTGCTCTCACACTCCACGGATAATGGCTGAGAGCAGCTGGAGGGGACAGAGGGACCAGCCTGGGATTGGAAGCAGTGGGCAGCCGCAGTGACATTGCACTGCTGGTGAGAAGCTCTGCAGTGTCTCCCAGGGACCCCGCAGTGTCCCCAGGCGTCCTGCTGGCCCAGCTCCCATATGCAGAGACTGCAGCAAAGTGACATGGCTTTGGTCCTAAGCCACCTGGAAACAGAATCCTTTGCTAGAGTAAAATGTAGTGCTAGACAGTTCCTCTCATTTGGGGTGCAAAGGCAAAGCAGCCTGGGAAAAGGTTGGGGGCTGGGTGCCTTGGGCCGCTGGCCAGTCCATGGGCCTTAACAGCCTCAGGACCTGTAGCCTTAGGACACTCTGTGAGGGGGGTTTCCTCTCTCAGTTTCCCAACAACAGGGGAGATTAGAGACATGGAGGGGCCAGAGCTTATCCTTCAGTTCCCCCCCAAACACTCTTACCACCATCATCCCAACCTCTCTGTCACATTACTGCTTGCAATTTACAAATTACTTTCACAAAAATTAGCCCATTTGATGAAGTGAGTTGGGCATGTTTTCATTATTTTATTCCCACGAGAATTAAGGTTGCCTCCCTGGCCTCTCCCCAGCCACTAGCATCCCTCATTACTGTGTCAGATCTTGGGAATGTGTGGGAAGATCTGCCACTGGTGGTCTGGCACCATCCCGAGGCTAATTCACGTCTGGCAGAAGCCGTACTGGTGGGAGCAGGAAGGCAGTGCTGGTGATGTTGGTCTTCGACAGGTAGAAAATCTCCCCAGAGGTGCTGAGACTGGGAGATTGATCAGTTGGAGGCCAGGAGTGTCCCTCAAAGCAGATATCAGAGAACAGTAGGTACATCTCAGGTAGGTGTGGCTAGCCCTACTGGATTCTTGACCAATAGCCATTCACTCCTTTATTACTAATAGAACTGCATCTCTTGTTTAGGATGACATCATGTGCAGCTTAAAATGCTTGGCTCTCCAGTCTCTTTTGCAGTTTGCATAGCCACATGACATAGTTCTGGCCAATGAGATACAAAGTTGCTGGGTAGGGCTTCCAAGAAAGTTTGTTCAAGGAGAGGGGACTTAATGTGTACCTTTGAAGGTCCATTTTGTTCGTATCCCTTCTTCCATCCCATTTTCTCCCTGCTGGAAAGAAGACGAGATGCCTGTAGGCACAGACACCGTCTTGTGACTATGAGGACAGCAGTCCCATACTAAAGATGGCAGAACAGAAGGCTTGAAGAAGCCAGGCCTTTGGTGACTTCCTGAAGCCATTTTCCCAGCTCTGGACTGCCTGCCTCCAAATTTTTATTCTTTAACATGAATTCTCTTACATGTAACTGAATGCAATCCTAACTAAAATAGTAGGTCAGAGCAGTAGTCCTCAAATTCTACAGCACTTTAGAATCACCCAGGGAGCTTTTAAAAAGCTCACCAACACCTACCAGTACCCAGCACCATTACATCGAATCTCTGCAGCAGAGGCCCAAGCATCTGCAGGGCTTAAAAATTCCCTAGGTGACCCCACTGTGCAGCCACATCCACAAACCAGTGAGTTAGAGCTTCTTAAACTTTAAGGTGCAGAGGAACCACCTGATTCAGGGATGGGCCTGAGACTCTGCATTTCTAGCAAGTTTCCTGGCAATGCTGCTGCTGCTGGTGCATGGGCCACACCTGGAGTAATGAGGGGTTGGAGCACTGAGTTAGGCCTTTGAACTTTAGCTAAGAATTATCGCCATGGCCATTACCACCACTGTCTTCTCCTTTTCATCTCCTCCTTTTCTTTCTTTTTTTCCCCCTCCTGTTCTTCCTTCACTGCTATCACCACCACCTCAATGTATTGAACAACTACCACGTGCCAGGCTCCAGGCTTAGAGATTCACATGTCCCATCTCTAATCCTGCTGACAGCTGTGTAAGGTAACAAATCTGAACCCAAAGAGAATTTGTATTTGTCTGGGTATATCTGATGAAGACCTAGAGTTTATGAGTCCCTAGGCATTTATTTGCAGAGCAGATTTGCATGAAGGCTTTGCACTCTTTGTTTTTGTACTTGAGCTCAAGGAGGAAGGAAAACACTCAAGGGGACCTGGAGAGACAAGGTGGAGGAAGATACAAGGACAGCATAGGGGCGAGGTGGTGTCTCTTCCTTGATCTGACTGGGACATTCTGTCAGACCTCTTAGGAGTGAAGGCGTTCTCGCCACTTCTGAGCTAAACACAATTTAGCTCCTGTGCTTTGAAGCCTGAAGACAACCTGCTGCTCTTTTAGCTCCCTGAAGATTTGGGTGTTTTTGTTTGTTTAGGTCTGGAAACCATGAAAAGACAGCTGAGGCAGACATCTTTTGGGACATCTTTACTATCTCTGAGAAGTGTCCCCACCCTCAGCAGTAGACCTCTGCAGCCATGTTTATTTCTGTGACTCTGCTTCTTCTTGGCTGTGGTTGATCAGTCAAGGCTGGTCATGCAACCCAGGGGCAGCTAGATCACTGGTTTTGCTGAGCCAGTGAGCATCTCCTGAAAAAACGGAAATGAGAAACAGAGATGCTTGTGGCTAGTCAGAGTGAAGCCCATGGGCCATGTGAGGGGCCAGGGCAGTCATTTTTCACCCATAGGCACAAAGGCATATAAATCAGATCTGCAGAAAGAGAAGGTGCACAGAGAGAAGCAGAGATGAGAGAGTAGGCAGCCACCATAGACAGAAAACGAGAAAAGGAGAAAGTGGCTGCCTCACTCCCTGACCACCTACCAGTTGCAATCTAGGCCCTCAGGAGACCTCCTTCAGCCCTACCATGGGTGCCGTACCGCTTGTGGTGGACAAACTCTAATGCCTCCCTCCCCATGTGATTTGCACCTCTTGATGTTCACGTTTTTGTATAATCCACACCCCTCCTTAGTGTGGGCAGGAATTATGACTTCCTTCTCACCAATAGACAGGTAAGAGTGATGGGCAGTCACTTCCATGATTACAATATATTATATGACTCCATCTTGCTGGCACAGTGGCTCAAGAGACTCTCTCCCTGGCTATGTTTGAAGAAGCAACTGGCTATGTTGGTAGGCCCATGTGGCAAAGAGCACAGATCAGCCTCTGGAAACTGATGTCAGCCCCCAGCTGAGAGCCGGCAAGAAGCCAGGGCTCTAAGTTCTATAGACACAAAGAAATGAATTCTGCCCACAGCCAGGGTGAGTTCGTAAGTGGATTCCTCCCCAGTTATTCTCCAGGTGAGAATGCAGCCCAGCCAGCATCTTGATTGCAGCCTTGTGAAACCCTAAGAAAAGGACCTGACAAAGCCATGCCTAAACTCTTAGCCCACAGGAACTGTGAGATTATAATGTGTGTCATCTAAAGCCACTAAGTTTGTGATAATTTATGACATAGCAATGGAAAAGTGATATACTGCTGTTTTTCATCAGTTGCCTTTTACACAGTTATGTTCCCATTACTTGCAACCTGAAGATTCTTGGCTAAGACAAGAGCACCCAGCCTGGGCCAGCGTTCTCCATCCAGAAGAACTGCCCCATCCAGAAGAATACTGGCCGGAAAAGCAAGAGGCAAGAGACAGCACAGCAGGTGTTCTGTGGCAGAAGGCCTGACAGACACTGGCAGAGGCTACAGTGGAAGCTTCCTGGGGACTCTCAGAAATACTTGAAGTAAGCTGGGAGGAAGACTAATGGATGGGGGTGGGGGACAGGCAGTACGAAGCCAACCGAATTTGGGTATGTGGCTTCATTTGTACTTACCCTGCTTGAAGTTCACTGTAAATGTGTGTCTCATACCAAACTTAGGACATTTGGGTCCAGTATTTCTTCAAATATCTTTTCTGTCCTGTTCATGATCTCCTCTCCTGAGATTTCAATTGAATGTATGTTGGACCTTTCTGTTGTCCTACATGTCCCTGAGGCTCTGTCTGTTTTTCTCTTGATATTTTTTCTCTGTGTTCTTCAGATTCAATTATAACTATTGACCTAGCTTCAAATATACTGCTCTTTCCTCCGTCATCTCATTTCTCCAGTTAAGCCCATCCAGTGATTTTTTTCCCCAGATATTTTAATTTTCAGTCCTATGTTTTCATTTGACTCTTTCTTATACTTTCTATTTATTTCCTGAGAATTTCTATCTTTTTATTCATTGTGAACACACTTTCTTTTACATCATTCAGCATGGTTATAATAGCTGTTTTAAGATATTTATCAGCTAATCCTAACTTCTGGGTCATGTCAGAGTCAGTCTCCATTCTTGAAAATGCATTACTTTCTCTGTTTTTTTATTTTTATTTGTATATTGAGTAATTTTAGAATGCAGCATGGACATTATAAGTAGTTTGTTGTATAAATTTCTAGATTCTGTTATATTCTTCCAAAGACTGCTGAATTTTTGTATTTTAGCAAGCAATTGATTGGACTCAAACTGCAAACCCTATTAAATAGGGACCTTGTTAAAATGCAGTGGTACTCAAACCTCAGTTCAGCTTTTTTTATCCTTACTTGAGCTTCTTTGAGCCTGCCTTATATATAGTTCGGAGATCAGAAAAAGATTTAGGCATAGTTTATACATAAAATTTGGGTGCCCTTCTCTGGCTTTCTTCTTTCATGAACTCTCTCTTTCTTTTTGTTTTTCAAATGTGCTTCCAAACTCTCTGATTCTTCAAGTCAGAAAAAATGTAGAGTTTCTATCAATGCTGCATGATGCCATTCACAGAAGCCCATTTTCACACTAAAAAAGTGTTGTTGTTTTTTTTAAAAAAAGGTGGAGGTGGAGGTACAGGACCATGCAGTTCCATTTCCTTCTTCCAAGTGTCAGTTCTTTCTAGAATCTACCTGGTTTTGGTAGCTTTCCAGTGCCATTAAGTAGTTGCTTATTATACTTTATTTAGATTTTATGATTGCTACCTGTGGAAGTGATAGTGTGATAGGAGCTTACTCAGCTATTCTTATCAGGGAAATCTGTGATTTCACTTGAGCTTACTGGATACTGAGCCTGAGGACACATAGGATGCAAAAATATCATTAAGTCTTTTTTTATAGATGAGGAAACTGAGTCTTCACAGGTCCATTTGGCTTAAAATTCTTCCGCTCTATCCTATCCAAGTCTGCTTGGGTGAGGCAGGCATAAGACGGTATCTACCATGTGGAAACAGGGGAGGAGTTGGCAGGAAAGGAAGGCAGGTGAGATGCCAAAATATGTAATCCTAAATGAACAAGTTCTTTGGGGCCAAGGAATTGTCGCAATGAGCATAAAGCCTTGTATATGATCTGTTTGAAGCCTTCCCAAGATGTCTTTGTTTCTTTCCTTTTGATTCCTTTTGAGAACTCCAGGCATCCCAGCTGTGCTATGGGCCTGCTGAAGAGCAGAAGTTTTGCAGAGACTTATGGTTATCCAAGGCAAAATCAGAGACCAAAAAATGTCATAGGACCTCAGAGATGGTCTCTCTCAACCCTCCTTATTTAGAAAAGTGAAATGATTTGCCCAAGATTGCTCAGTCATTTAATGGCTGAGTTAGTTTCAGTGTCCAAATCTCTTAACTTCTGCAAAACAAGCACAACTTGTTTATACCCATAATGTAGTACCTATATCTATCTATCTATCTATCTATCTATCTATCTATCTATCTATCTAATTTATTGCCTGCTCACACCACACCAGTGACTCCATTTGCCTCTGGTGACATGGAGGAGAATGTATCAATCCATTGAAATAGTAGTTCTCAATCCTTTTTAAAAAAATCTACAGTCCTTGAGAAACAGAATAACATCCTTAAATACCCAAGTAAATGCCAATTAACACCATCCCACCACTGCATTGATGTTGATGGATTCCAGATGTGGTATTTATTCTATGGCACCTCCCCGCTCCCCACTCAATCCCCCATAGCACCCACCATAGATGCGAAAGGCATACTCGATCTTCAGGCTGGGGCAGGCCTGCTCACTGAACACAGATGCCATGCCCAGCACATCCTCAAAGGAGAACACGTCATTGTGGGAGAACACCCTGCAGATTCGGTCTCTGAAAGGGTTGACCTGTGGGTGGGGAGGAGGAGGAATTCTATCAATGTCAGTTTCGTGTCTCCTTGGGCCTTGCTTATCTTCCTAAAGTACAGTGTCTTGAGTTTGAGAAGAAAATAATAGCAACCACCTAAATATTGGAGTTGATGCTGGGTCAACAAGCCAGGACCGTGGGTGTGACAGAGGGTACCTGGGATGAGGGGCCATGCTTAAAGTCACTCTCCCTACTGTCATCTCCTCTCTCACATACCTTCCAAAGGCTCATTTTTGGTTGTGTTATTCTTTTTTATGGTTACTAAATTTTTTTTATTTTATGTATAAAACTTGGAAAATACAAAAAAAGTATAAAGAATGGTATATAAATTTTTTTGTAACCTACTCCCTAGTGTTAGCCACTGTCAACATATTGACATAGACATTAGACAGACCTGGGTTTAAGTCCTGGCTTCCTTATTTGCTAGTGACTGACCTTAGTTTTGACAAATTACATAGTCTTCCAGAGTTGAAGCTTTCTCATCTACAAAACGGGGTGGGATAATACTGTATCTACGCAATGGGTTTATTGTGAGGATTAAAGAGGGTAGGTTTAAAGTTGCACAGTGACTGATAAAGACCACTCAACATGTGGTAGCTATTAGTTGTTACCTAACTATTATATACAGAGGGTGCCCAAAAAATGTATATATGTTTTAAGAAAGGAAAATCTGTATTAAAATTGTAATACTCAATATATACCAATAACAAAAGATGAATACAAGTCAGGTGTATACATTTTTTTTGGCACCCCTGGTATATCAACAACTTTCACTTTTAAACCAAACTGTTTCTCAAATTAGGACCCCACAAGAGTAAGGGTCATGTGATTTTAGAAACCCCCAGTTTCCCTAACTTGGGCTTGGCCAGCATCATGCATGAGAGGGCCCTTCTGACGCTGGCATCACAGGGTTCTGAGAAAACACCCAGCAAGCGGCTTCTCTTCTAGCTAATGCTGCCTTGCTACTTTCTTCCAGCCCCCAGGAATGGGCAGGTTGGGTGGGCTGTGGGGTGGGAGAGGTGGGCAGATCTAATGAAAGTTAAAGGGGGAACCGCACAGAACAAGCTTGGAAATCTTTAAAAGCAACAAGTTCATTTTTGGCACCCTCCTCCTCCCACTTTCTGTGTCCCTCATCTACTATGACCCCCCTCCACCCCCATTTGCTCAGGGGCCCAGCCATTGCCTGTTCTAAACTCACCCTGCTTGATGGCAGCCCTTATCAGACACAAACTTTGCTCTATTGTTTTAAAATGACCCCAATATCCCTCCCTTGCCCCCAACCAAAATTCCCTTCCCTTAGATACACTTCGGCTAGGAAAGCAATTTGATTCTGTGAGTTCACACAGCAGATCTGATGACCAATACTCCCTCAATCTTCCAAATTTTTAATTAGATGAAACAAATCTCTGGTTGATTTTTCTAGTCCCCTTTTAACTGACAAGGTATCTCTTCAAGGCTTCAGGCTTCATGCAAAAGGGTTAGTTCCTCTGCTTCAAGCACCCAGTGGCCTTATCACCTCCCTCATGGGCATCTGAACCCCAACCCCAGTCTCTAGGGCACATATTCCCTTGCTTAACATGGCTTAGGGTTGCCCCAGCATCAGCAAAAGGTTAGCTCTCTGCTTTTGATTTATTCATTTTGGGTACATGAAAATTTCTCTGTCGTGTCTTTTGAACTCAGCGACATATTAAAATCTATAGTCTAATTTTGTTTGGGATTCCTATGTATTTGAAGTAGGAGAGAGAATGTCCTGTATCACTCACCTCAGGTGGCCATGCAGTTCTCAAACTTTAGTGAGCATATTGAGTTACCTAAAGCCCTAGTTTAAAAACATGAATTGTAAACTCCCACCCTCAGAGATCCTGTTTTAGAAGGTCTGGGGTGAAATCTGGACACAGAGATACACACACAGGGAGAACAGCATGTGAACTTGAAGGCAGAGATTGGGGCAATGCTTTTACAAGGCAGATATTGGGGTGATGCTTAAGAATGCCCAAGTTTGCCAGAAAACCACCATAAGCAAGGAGAAAGGCAAGAGACAGACTCTCCCTCACAGCCTCAGAATGAACCAATCCTGCCAACACCTTAATCTCAAGCTTCTAGACTCCAGAACTGTGAGAAAATAAATTTCCGTGTTTAAGCCACATAGTTGTGGTACTTTGTTACACAGCCTTAGCAAACAAATACACCCAGGAATCTGTACTGTAAATAAGGTCCCCAGGTGACAGGGTTAATCTCATATATATATGTATATATGTTCCAGGAGTGGCCAGGGTCCAGCAGAACCTGGGCTGCCCTGATAGAACCTCCAGACAAGCTCCTACTGTCTGGTTCCTCCACCCTTTCACCTCCACCCCCCACCCCCCACCCCCAGAAATGCTGGGTCTGACTGCCTCAAACGAATGCTATTAAGACTTATCTACTGTGATGTGTTCCAGGTCACATGTACCTCGCTAAGTGGCTTTACAGATTACTTTGTCAAATTTTAACTAAATTAACTCTCACAAATGGATAGGTGGCTTAACAAGATTCCTGCAAGGAAACCACAATTGAAGATACTGCTTAAAATGCAAATGCAAGTGAACAAGAAAATGTCAGGGCAGATACCTCTCGTACTTAAAATACAAGTTGTTTTCTATGAAGAAGAAAAGATTGAGAATCCAGCCAGACATAACGAGAAGAATGGGCTTCAAGTCTCCTGTCCTTCACTCAGACAGGTGCAAGACAGATCAACAATCTCACTGCCTAAGCATCAGCCAACCAGGGAGTAGGGTACCACGCTTCCCTTCCCTAGGGGCCACCCCATTGCTTGGCTTTTCTGGTAGTGAGGGGGGTGGGGGTGATTGCCAGGAAGCCAATCCACCCCCTCCCCTTAGACTCATGTCACATAACTTACCTCTACACACACACACACACACACACACACACACACACACACACACACACACCTTGTCTTATAGAGATGGGGAAGGGGGCAGTTGGTGTGGTAGCTGCTCGGAACAGCACATAGAACACAACTTGGTGACCACAGATATTGCTGGGAGATGTGTAGAAAATATTGCTGAAGATATAGAGAAATAAGCATTAAAACACATTCCACACTGTGGATAGTCGGCTAAATACATTGTTAAAGAAAAATGCAGATGTTTCTAACATGGTTTTCCTAGATTATGTTTCAATAATGCAACACATGCAGAACCACATTTCTGTGAGCCACTATAGAGGCGATGTGAGCCGAACAGTACATTACTTCAATAAAAACACCATGTATGGGGAAAACTGTCTGATTGTAACCACTGATGAGCGGCTGCTCCATACTGAAAAGGATTCTGGGTAAGGGTGCAAGCATGTGAACTGTACAACTAGTTCCTTGTGGAATTTCCTGCAGATGACTGCTGTCAAGAGTTAAACCCAGAAGAACACAAAGTGCTGCAGGATTCATTGATATGGTTAGGTTTGTTTTTTTTTTTAGTTTAAAATATAGTAAAACTTATATAATGATTTATAATCAGAGGGAAGTAACTATGGAAATCTTTTGAACCACCTGAGGTTTGCCTGGTTATCTCTTGGCAGAGCACTTAAAATAGCCATGAGACTTGAAGAGGAGGTACACATGTTTCTTGTACAAAAACACAAGTGTTCCAAATTTTCTGAGCTTTTTATGATGACAAGTGGGGGTTGGCAGTTTGCTACCCAGCAGATATCCACAAAAAAATGAACTCAAATTCTTCTGGCTCTTTAAGGTAAAGGTGACTTGTTTTAACAATAAGCAAGAAAGTCCTTGCTTTTCCAAAGAAATGCACACTTTGGAGAGGCTATTTTGAAAATGAGATTTTTGTTGTTGAAAACATGGTGTTGCCTATACAAATGCATACCTGAAAATATTACAAACAGATTTTCCCAATCTGTTTGAAAATCATCCAAATGAAAAATGTCAGTGGATTTTGAGTCCATTTGTTAAAAATATAAAAATGCAATGTTTTCCATTTAGCTTGTAAAGAGCCACTGACTGACATAAGGGAAGATGGACATCTACTAGCTTAATTTCAATAAAAAGCCTTTAACTGGTAGATGGGATTGATAATGAGTACCATAATTTAATACAGCCAGTGATACATCTCTTCTCTTTGGATCAGCTCTGACAGCCATTAAAAATAAACTCAACTAGAACTAGACCTCCGAATGGCTCTATCTCAAAGTATGAAAGCAGAATTTCAAAGAATAATGAAGCACACCCAACCACATTGCTTTCCCTTACTCTATCATTACAAATGATAAGCAAACAGTAAAATTGTGACAGGAAAACATTTTGTTATATAAAATAAAGGAAGATTTATTCTTAAAATACTTTATGTAATCTTTAGCTAAAAAAATTTTTTATTGTGCATGTTTATATGTTAACATATTGGTATTGCAGTGAAGGGACATAGTATATAAATGAACATTATGGGTGCACACTCTACATTTTTATATTGCTGATCAAAAGTGTTTGGAAATCTCTCATCTAGACTAACCCTCTCATGTCACAGATGTGCAAATGTGGCCCTGGGGGGAGGAAAGTGACTTGTCCAAGGCCACTCAGCCTGAGACCCAGATCTCCTGAGTCTACCCAGCACTGTTTCCACCATGCTGCCTTGTGGCAAGTTTACATCAAAGAAAAAGGTGGTGATGGAGGCAAAGCACGTGACCATTAAAATGTAGAAAACTTTGGAAGTGGAACCCTCTTAAAATTCTTACTTTAATTAAAACAAATTCTTTTTGACACCAAGTGCCAAAACAGAGCCTAGTTTAAGTCAAAAAAGTGGTTCACGCCTATGAGCACTGTGTGTCTGGTGGGTAGTGACTGTTGATACAAATGTGACAAGCACTGGAGGAGGTTAGGAGCAAATGCTGTGGAAGGGAGAAGACAAGAAGACAAGGTGAAAGCCACGTGGAGCCATCAGGCTGGGGGATGGTGGAGGAACCAGAGTAAGGAGCAGGA